AGATTAACTGGTAATGAATAAAGATCAAGTACAATACCTGTAACTTAATAAACGCTATAAGCTTATTTAATAAATGTTAGTTTCCTTTCCTCCTCTCTATAGCTTATACAGCGAGAATTCCCTAAGCTAATTCAGTATAGAAACTAAATATATTATTTGAATCTACTTAAAAAGAAGACACTCTGGGCCGGGCGCGGTGGCTCACGCCTGCAATCCTAGCACTCTGGGAGGCCGGGGCGGGCGGATTGTTTGAGCTCAGGAGTTCGAGACCAGCCTGAGCAAGAGCGAGACCCCATCTCTACTAAAAAATAGAAACAAATTAATCGGACAACTAAAAATATATACAGAAAAAATTAGCCGGGCATGGTGGCGCATGCCTGTAGTCCCAGCTACTCGGGAGGCTGAGGCAGAAGGATCGCTTGAGTCCAGGAGTGTGAGGTTGCTGTGAGCAAGGCTGACACCAAGGCGCTCACTCTAGCCAGGGCAACAGAGTGAGACTCTGTCTCAAAAAAAAAAAAAAAAAAAAAGAAGACACTTTGATGACATGTACCTGAACAGATAGATTGGTAACTTGTATTTGCAGGATCTAATCCTAAATTTTAGAAAATGGGAATAAGAAGTATACATCTATTGCCCACCTCTTTCAAAAAGGAAGGGGCAGGTAGGTGGTGAGGAGAAAAGAAGGAGAAACAAAAGGGAAAGGTAACCTTAGAAATTAGAGATCATCAATTCAACTTCAATTCCTAAATTTAGAATAACCTTCCTTTACACATACGGACTTGCAGCAAGAACAGGATTAATATTCATTCTAAAATTCTGAAAGCAAAACATTTTCTATTTACTTAGATCTATATAAATCTCATCTATATTTAATATATTTTTTACTTAACTTTCACTCTTTGAAATGTAGTATCACTGGTAAAATGTACCAAAACAACAACAAAAAAAACCAAACCAAAAACCAACAACATCTCAGATCAGAAACACAAAAATTCTCCTTGTTGCCTTAAGTTTTTAATAAGCTTTTAATTTTCTAACCACAAAAATAAATCTTAACATTTTCTTTAACTTCTGCTCACTTTTTAGCCTAACATCCCTCTTATGTTCTTCAAATGAGATTTTACTTTCTAGAAATCTTCTAAATCATTTACTGTGCATCATTCAAATCTCCTTCATACTCTTTCTGGAATATAGCTTATCCCTCTAAAAGTGGTCATTTAACACTTTCTGAACTCAAGGAGGGGTTTACAATTAAGCAATTAATTCAGTTTTATTCAACGTATTTTATGTAATCAAGCTTGACTTTTTCAGAAGTAATTGGTATCAGATTTAGATTTTTTTTCATGTTCCAGTTACTTCTACAACCTTTCTAAAATTGGAACTTCTAGTCTACCTTTAAACTGGAAATTTATAAAGTGCTACTGAATGTTCCATAAAATTCATAGGAAAAGATTCATCCATTAGATACATGCAAGAGTAAAAAAGGGCATTTTATGCTACCACATCTAGAACAGTACTGTGCACAGTAAAGACTCTTGACTGTAATAAGCTGAAAAACAGTTTTAAAATGAGTTTTATCACAAATCAGTCAGAATATGCCAGGAAGAGTTCCTAGTGCTACCAAATGCTCTAGCAGCAAGTAAACAAAAACTAACCATCTTCAATTCTTCAAGACTATTATGAAATGATATACAAACACAACAAACATTCTAAATTATATTTTAAGGCTTCATCTAGGGCAGTATTTTTCAAACTAAGGACTGCAATCTATTAGAGAGTCCAAAATTAATTTACTGAGTCCAGATCAGCAAAGAAAGAAAGAAAGGGTAAGGGGGAGGAAAAATAAATAGAAGATACGTGAGTGTACCACAGGTAGTAAGGGTGAATACCATTCCATGAACTTTGTTTTGTTCTCTATGTATATAGTACCCAGAGCAATGTGTATTTTAAGGGTGAGTTTGAGTTAAAGAAAACACTGATCTGGAAGACAGACAGAAGTGGACAGGATAACACAATGAAACTATCAGAATTATCAAACTGTGGTTTGGGAGGTGAGCAAGACTAACAGCTTCTATTAACTAGGAGACAGAGGTTTTGAAAACTTCTATATGTTTGTAAAAGCCAGACTTCCCTAAGTGAAAAATGACAAAGCACTTCTCCTCTTACAGTAGGCCTAGGACAATGTTTAGCAAAGCTTTTGGTTGCCACTACTAATGTTCTTATCCCTTGAAACTTCTCAAGAAGGCAGAGGTCAACCTTTACTTTCTCCTCCTAACTCTTAGGCACGCTGAATGCAGTTAAGATACAGCAGCCTCTAAACGATAATTAGTGGTCCTCTAGAAAACACTAACTGTATTCTGTATCACAATTTAAAATTTCAAATAAGACTCTCATTCAGTAACTTGGAACTACAATAGCCACATATCACAGTCCACTAAAATGGTCATGTGAAGAGAATGAACACCAAAATAATTACAGATTTTTTTTAAAAAAGGTATATAAAAGGTTTCAAAGATTCAAAACACATCTTGGAGCCATTTAATTTAGCAGTTAATAGACAAGAAAGAGTAGCTCTGTGAGGAATTAGTATTGGAATTCTCTAAATACTGGCCAATCAATCTGCTTCTCTATATTAAGAATGATTCTGAATATTCAGCTGCTTTAACAGAGCTTTCTAATTATTTTTGAAGCCATTAAAAAATACATCTTGACTGTGAAGGGCACAGTTTCATAAATTATAGCTAATATCTGTTCTAAGAAGCTCAAGGTTATAAGCTATTTCTCAGGATGTATCCACTACACATTACAACTACTACATAAGTTATCCAAATTCCAGTATTGTTACAAAAACCACATCCCCCTATATTACTGTTATAGCTTTTTTTAACTAATATAAACCCACATATGGTTAGAGAGACACAATAGGACACAAAAATGCAGTTGTAAAGATTTCCCTAGTTGCAGGGTGAAGAGTTCCTTTAATCTCTGCTGATATAGTTTAACGTTCTGTCTGGCTCACTACCTCCTTTTCTCTTATACTTTGAAACTTGCTGTGCCTTGAGACATCAACCTTGGCATAATCACCTAATAGTTTTATAATCTGGGCCCATGCTGTTGGAAAAAGGAGTTTCAGTCTTTGCTTACTAACAATTCCTAACTGAACACAAATTCCCAAAAGATAAACTTGATAAGCACCTACCAGAAAGTCACTTTGTGTACAAGTACAAAAGAACGCACCAAGCAAATTATTGGGTTCACAGCCTCTTATCCTTAGAGGCAAAAGACTTTTAGTTCAAACATTAATGACATAGGATTTAATGAAAGAAGAGCCCATTTATTTACCTATTCTGATCAGACATCACAGAAATTCAACTCTGAATAGAAGACAAAGCTAGACAATCTAATCACCCTAAATTAAAGATGCCTCTTACTTTCTTCTCTCTCTCGGGCCATTTTACACCAAACCTAGAGCAGAACTGTACCTACCTTCAGGCTAGAAGAAACAACATAATAGCTTATTGATCTCCGGTGTAGACCCAAACCCACAAGTCATCAGGCAAGCAGGAATCACAGCTACTTGATGCAAGTAACAATCAAAGTCATGCACTGGGTTTTATGGTCACGCACAAGCACACCATTGGCAATTACCACATCAAATATGGACCAAACCACTGTCCTCCCCAAAACAAAAACAATAATAATCAGGTAAGGGAGCAACACATCCTGAATTACACAAAAGACTACTGTTTCTTGGCTGTCAGTAAATGCCAATTTAAGTTCATTAAATTCTTCGTTTAGTGACATTTCTCAGGTTTTAAAAGCTACCACCACATTCGATTCCACGGACAAATGCTTTTAAAACAGATAATACTTGCTGATGAATTACATGTTTACTGAATCCTGTCACCACCACCATTATATTAATACTAATTGAATCACTGTTTGTGGCAAATGACTTAGACTTTTTATAAGTAAAATTTACCAAAGAATGGTAACTTCTAATTATTTCCTTCTGGAGAAATCAAAGCAACACTCCAAAAAGGAAAGGTTAACTGTGTTCTCTGAAATACCTATTCAATGTGTTTAACTGATGAACTAAAAACGGTGAAGTCAGAAATGGAACTCAATTCTCTCAAGAAATGACTGTTCTTTCCAATTAATTCCATTTGGCTCTTGTTCTGACCCCAAGGCAATATAATGCTTAGTCCTCACACGTAGTTTTCAGCCTTCTCTTAACCTGAAAGGAGTTATTTCTAACCCGATCCACCGACTGGAATAAAGCAACAGTGACAACAGTAGCGGACGACGATGGGTGAAATGACAACTAAGCTAGGAGTCAGGACAGACCTGCACAACCGATTTGGGAGAGATTGAGGTGGGGCTGGAAACTATTTTCTGGCCTTCTCCCGCGAGCTGCTCCCGGGGAACCAACAGGATCCTGCATGCCCCGGATCAACAGAGTCTGGCCCCGAGGTTGAGGGATGGGGAGGAAGCAGCGGGGTGCTTTTTCGGGGAATGGGGTAAGGGAGGGATTGGTGTGGTGGGAATTTCATTGTGGCGAGAACTTCCGAACCCCAAAGGGTAGGAGGTGGCAGGGCCGTCCCGGCAGCGGCGGGGGCGACCTCCCCTTCTTTCTCACACAGTCACACATCTTTGTGTGTATGGACTGTGCAAGGCGCTGAGTCCTCGAGGAGCCGGCCGCTGGGGCCCTCGAGCCCAGCTCGGGAAGTCCGCCCGCCCCCCCTCGCTCCACCAGGGCCCTCCCAGCCGGGACCCCCAGCCTCTCTCCAACACCCCGAGGCTCTGGGGTGGGCGAGCGGACGAAAGCATCTCCGTACGGGGACACCCCTTCTGCCGCATCCACCCCTCGCGAGGTCTTTGTCCCGCCGGCCGCCAGGGTCTCCCCCGGCTGTCTAGGGGAACCCCCGTCCTGGAGGCCTCGGGACGCCGGTCGTCCCAGCTTTGTTCGGTCAGCGGGGCGCAGGAACGCGGACACTTACCGTACACCCCAGCCAGGAAAAGCAAGAGCAACGCAGACCTCCACCGCGGAGACTCTTTTGTGCTCCAGCGACCGGCCATAACCACGGCAGATGGAGAGAGAGAAGAGATGGAAGAGGAGGGGGAGGAGGAGCTGGGGCTAGACGCCGTCGCCGCTGCCGCCGCCGCCGCCGCCAAGCCCCCGGCTGCTCCCTGCGCTCTCCGCGGCGGCGGGAGGGGGAGGGGAGGGGCCGCCACTCGCGCGCGCTCCCTCCCTCCGGCCCTCGCTCTGCCGCTCGCCCGCTCCCACCTCGGGCGGCGCGAGAGCCCCACGCGGGGCAGCCCTCGCGAGGCAAGGGCAGGCAGCGCGCGCGCCGGCCCTGAAGCGAGGGGTTGGCGAACGCGGGACTCCGGCCTCCCGCCGCACAAGCTAGCCGGCGCCGCCACCCGCCAGACTGAGCGCGCGCTCATCCGTGCGATCGGCAATCCCCTGGCCCGCCTTCCTAGGTTCCCGCCCCGCGCTCTGCTGGACTTTCCCAGTCTCGGGGCCGTTTTCCCCGCGACTGGAGCCCCAGGAGCAAGACAGTGCCAATCGATGAGCGAGCGCGCGAACGCCAGCCGCTGGATGCCCGGGGGTCGGAGAGCCGGGCCAGTGGAGGAGCTTGCACTCAGTCTGAGGCCTGGGCGCTGGCCCAGGGGTGGGGTAGGGGCAAGTTGGGCGGCTGAAGTTGGCTATGTGTAAAGGAAGAGTGGGTGGCCGAGGCTGAGAACTTGGTAGTTCCCACCCCTACCCGGACCCCACATGCCTCCGCTTGAGATACTTGAGATCAGCGCGGAGCTTGCCTAGGGGTGGGCGCAAGTTCGTGCGGCTGACCCCGGCCAAGGGGCGGTTGCGGGGCCATGTGGGTGCCCACGGTCAGGGTGCCCGGAATGTGTCGCAAGGCTGGAATGCAGAGTTCTTCCAGTCTGGCGTGGAAGCCGCGGGAGGCCGTTTGACATCTCAAGCGGGGGATGGAGGGTGTAGCCGGCTGGAATGCTTGGCTGGAGTCGACCTGGGGTTTCGGAGGAGAGGAAGGGAGTGTTCATCCAACACGCTCCAATTTCCCTAAATCTTTTCCCCTGCTCCCAACAAATGTGACCTTGCCTTAGATCCCGTAACACTTCTAAATACATCTGTAGTGACACTGGCACGTCAGACCTTCGGTCTTGTGTTTGTAAAGTGCTTCTCTATAAAGTCTTACTTCTGCATTTAGATTTATCATTGCCCTTCACTAGCACTCTCTAGGCTATTCATTGAAGACCTACAATGCACTATGCTGTCCTGCTGACATGGTTATTTCTTTTTAATTCCTAACAACTTTGCGAGATATATATTATTACCCACATTTTATAGATAAGAAAATAAGACTTAGAGAGGTTAAATTACTAAAACGATATAGCAAGTAAATAGTTTGAAACAGTTTTTCTCACTCCAAGGTTAAGACTGTTTCCCCTATACCACAGCAAACTCTCTAGCACAATATTTAGTGCATAATAAGTAAATGTTAAATTTTAAGGCATACATTTTGGGGAGTGCATTAGGTTTCCCTCTAACTCCTACCGATTTGTCCCCTTTGAGATTTTCTCCCAGGAAATGGTATTCCAAAAGATAAAAGAAAAAAATGTACTGACAAATACTACAAAAATCTAATAATTAACAAATCTTGTTTTTATCATCTTGCAAAAAAGTAACCAGAACTCTAAAAATGTTTTATATTCTCATTGGAGAAAAAGAAGCAACTTCAGAATTCTTCACTAAACTTACAGTTGTCTTCCCTAGTTTTAGGATTCTAAACTCCACTCATTTCTTGTGACCTCTTTCTATACATTGCACTTCCATGACAGCTGTGTTTAGGCCAGGCTACAAGCAAAGTGAAGAAAGTAGACTGGACCTGTTCACAGCATCTTCCCCTGTCCACTATTAACACTTTTTGAGGAACCCTATCCCCAACACAAGACACACAATGCCCTCAGCAGTCCCCAACTATCACACCCCTCCCACTCCTACACTTGCTTGTCCACCTAGATCTGTCTTCTCAGACTTACCAGGTTCTCAAACTTTTGAGCATCTGGGTCCCTTTAGCACTTAAAATTTGGTGAGGACTCCAAAAAGCCTTTGTTTATATGAGTCATATCTATCGATATTTACCATTTAGAAATTAAAATAAAATTTTAAAATACTTGTAAAGTCATTTTAAATAAAAAAATACAAGTTTACATAAGTCTATTTTCCAAAACAAAAAATTTAGTGAGAAGAGTGGTATTGTTTTCCATCTTTATAAATCTCCCTAATATCTGTCTTAATAGAAGACAGCTGGATTCTCATAACTGCTTCTGCATCCAATCTGTTGCAATATGTTGTTTTGGTTGAAGCGTATGAAGAAAATCCAGACTCACACAGATATATAAATTGGCAAAGGGAGGACCTCATGTACCTTCCTGAAATAGTCTCAGCAACACTCCCACCAACTCCCCTCCACCCAATAAAATTTTGAGAACTGTTGATCCAGGTGTCTGTCTTAACGCCTTCGAAACCTAAGTATTTTGTTTCTCATTGGAAAGGATCTAACAGGTATTCAATGTTCACTAATGAAGGATATTTATGTTTTATGAAGGGACATTTTTATTTACACAAAACAACTCTAATAGGATATCAGACATTGGTAAGCAACACAGCACAGAATAGGAGCTCAATGGTAGTTACTCTTTTTGTCACCTAATCTACCTAGCCGGCTATTTAGGCTGATACATCAAGTAGCGCATACATGAGAAAGTGCTTTAAAATCCATAAAAACTATAGATGTAAAGTGGCTAGTATTGCAACAATTCCATTACAGTTAGACTACTGATTCCAGCTGGCCAGCATTCTGATCTGTACCCTATAAAGCATAAATCATGCCCCTGAGACCCACGTGGTTCTTAATCTGGGTCACCTGGATCCGTAGATGGGCTTTCAAGGGTCTCATAAGCCTTCTGAAATTGTATGAAAGTTTTGTGCTCATGTACTTTTATAGGAAGAAGATTCATTATTTTAAGCAGATTCTTGAGGGATTGTGTTGACCATTTTTTAAAAATACAGTTTGAAAAAAATTGAATGAGGCAACTATTTAAGTTGCTTCTTAATCCTTTTCCAAGTGGTTCTAGAACTTCTCAAGTAGATGTAATTGGGAGTGGAGAAGTACATGGACTGCTTCTTTTTCCCTAGACGTATTTTGAAAAGGGCCATAATCCTCCACTTTATGGAAATATGCCCTTAAATAATAAATCCTTTTGTTTGGTTTTAAACTTTTCTTCTTTGTTTGGTTATCATCACATATAATGGTTTGATGTTTACTCTTGTTATCAATAAAAATTTGTTCTGTCCCAATGTCAACCCTGCTCCATTTAGTAGCATTTAAGAATCTCATCAACACTGTGAGGTTAGAATGGAAATTTAAGTTTTCCACTCTAAGCATCATCTTTTATTGGAAAGAAAATTGATGATAGTGGGTTTTCTACTTGGCATGCTGCCAGACAAAACTAAATCTTAGAACTCCCCCTCAAAGAAATATTAAGTTTTAAAAAGAAAAACAAACTTGAAAAAAACATAAATAACAAAAGGGGAAAGAGAAACTTTTTTTAAAAAGATTGCAGTTAAATAAATGAGATTTCCTTACAAGTAAATTGTAATTTCCGTTGGAGTTGAATAATATAGGGTAGCAAATGAGATCCATCAATCTTGGCAACTTTTTCTATACCAGTTCACTAGCACATTTATTGTGGTTATTATTTATTCTATGCTCTGACAGCATATCCGGCATTGTACTAAATAGTCAAAGACATAATCCTGGCTGTAAATTAAGTAGCCCAAATCCATATAGATTTAGTTTTGCCCTCATAAACTCAACTTCTTAATTGTGAAACCAGAGCATGCATGAACTTATAGTGGTGATAACATCTGTCTCTTGTAGGCATATAAAACAATTGCCCCCACCCAAGAAAAAAGGAGTGAAAGAAGAGTTAACTATAGATATTAGTAATTATAAAGTGATACTCTGAGCTTTTTTGTCGTTTAACTGCAAAGTTTCAAAAGGCATATAACTTTGTGTTTAAGTTCTTGCTACGATTGATCGAGGATATAAACTGAAAATGCATGTAGGATGAAATTTCATTCCATGTCCCCATGAGTCCATCAGAGTGAATTTGGCAACTGTGATGGCAACCCAATGGCTCTTTGTAGGGAAATATTGCTAATTTCAGGTTTATGTCATTTGTTTGTACCCTGCCCAAATCCAAAAAGAATTTGAGTTTCCCCATTGTATTCGGCAAATATAGTTGTCCCTCAGTATATACGGGTATACATGGGGGATTAGTTGTAGGACACTCCCCCATCATATACCCAAATCCATGCATACTTAAGTCCAGTTGGCCTTGAGGAGCCTGTGTGCATGAAAGGCCCACTGTATATGTGGGTTTTGCATCCCACAGGTACTGGACCAAATGCATGTTAAGTGGACCCCCATGTTGTTCAAGGCTCAATTGCAGTGGATAAAGACAAAAGTCTCAAGAGTTTAACAATGCTGGGTTTGAGCTAGATAATTGACCTTGGTAAAAAACCTAACTTCTTGTACCTCATATTCCCTCCTATAAAATGGGAAAAAACAGGGGTCTTCTTTATCTACATGTCTTAAGTGAGATAACGATAATTGCTAAAATGTATTGAGTGCCCGTGGTATGCTATGCGTTCAGCTCTCAAACAATCCTATGATATTGATGCTATTATTATCCCCATTTTTCACACGAACAAATAGATACAGAGAGATTCAGTAATTTTCTCAAGATCACACATGGTAAATGGCCATTTAAACTCAAGCAGTCTGACTCTAGAGCATGCACTCTTAGTCATTCTACTATGTTGTATGTAAAGCACTTAATACAATACCAGGCACTTAATAGGTATTCAATAAATGGCAGCTACTGATATTAAAAACATAAGTGATATAAGCAAAACAGTTCTTATTCTCTAATATCATGCAATTTAAAATAAAATCCATACAGTTATGTTTCTGTCTTCCTTCTGTTTTCTAGAAGTAACTCATACTACCTTGAGTTCTGTTTAAGTTAAGCCCCTTTTAGATTTATTTTTTAAAAGTTTTATTTCCTTGAATTTTAGAAAACAGTGAGTATCAATTAGATGA